ATATTTATCATGTGGTTTCCCTATATATCGTTCGGAACACACAGCATCAAACTGCTGCACAATCCCCGGCACCGCCGCAGGGTGGGCGACGCACCTTCACTCACCTGCCACACCGTAGCCTCGAGGTGCAGCAGAGATGAGACCAATGGGGTGCCAAGGTCCATTTAAATTGTAGTGGTTTGCAAATAAGGTCCCCTAGAAAAATGCGCCAAATCATCACCAGTTTTTTTTAAACAAAAACCATGGCTTTGGGGGTTGGCATTTGGGTCCTAGTTAATTTGATTTTAATGGGTCCACTTGCACATGTATATCTCGTTTCTTTCAAGATATATCATACCAACTGAACCAACATCGCAAATCTTAGTAGGTTGTCAGGGGTGACCAGAAGAAATAATTTCACCTCCTTATTCAACTAAATCTTTACAGCACGAATTTGTGAATCCACCCTCCACTTCAACTGGGCACCAAACCATCAGAGCGAGGGTCAGGAACTTCACCAGCTGGATCCCATTCCCTTGCGGATGGCACAATTGCGGGACACCCTAAAAATTCAAACTAAGAGATGATCTGCACATGGCCCAAAAAGACATGAACATAACACTGTTAGAATCATAGAAAAATCAACTTGATCTGCGCATTTAGAGCCGTGGCAGGCCAACCGAAACTGAGAGGCTGAAGTCAGACTTGCATTAGGTGCAACTCAAATCAAACCACAAATTCACAAATGTTGTCACACATGCAGGTAACCAAAAAGTTGATACATATTCACGTGGCCATCCATGACAAGTCCGATATCCTTTAAAGGACTATAGGAACTTCGAAACGGCTACTCGACACATCAACACGCCTGGAGTAACGAAGCTCCGAAGACCATGCGGGAAAAGGCACTGCACGAACCGATGCCCAGGAATTAAGTTGCCACGATTTCAGACCAAATCGTTAAAATAAACATATGTAGCGGGGATCATAGGAGATCGTTCTAATTTGAACCTCGAAACGATGGCCCGTGTTTATCTGTATAAACCGGTACTCTAGGATGTTCTTATTATGACATTTTTAAAACCAAAGATGATGTCCTAAAAAACATCCTAAAACTGAAGCTGCCGTTCCTGGTCAGTGCGCGCGCGAAAATCACACCAATAGAGTTTGATGTTTTAAAAAAAAGTCCAAATTAGTGGATAATTTGTGTTCCCAATTTAGCTACAGATGTCAAATTCGAGAAAATGATTTCCAATTGTTAACATTTGGGTATGCACCTGTGGACTCCCAACGCAAGTAGGTTTGGATTTTCAATTTCGATTGGAGGGTGTGTTCAAATCAAGGATGTGGTTTTAAATTTGGATATTGACAAACGTGGGTTCCGGATGTACAGCTTGGGTTCCGAATTCCGACTCCCAATGGAAAATCAAACTTTGTCTTTAGAACACAAAGAAGTTTAGGGTATACAGCCGTACATATTAAGCTACCCCATCATATCCCATAGGATCCATGTATGGTATATATGCTAACATTTGGGGTATATTGATGGTAAATGTTACCATATATAGCATACATGGATCCTATGGGTATATATATATAATATGTATATATATATGGTTTCCCAAAAATGGCACACCAAATGTTGGGAATCCCAACAACGAACCCACATGAGGAAATGGGAATGACTGTTTGTCAACCGAATTGACATTGGGAATGTTGCCATAGAAATACATGTAGCAGATCAGAAAATAGCGCATGTATAAAACAGTATTTAAACAATAGTTAGATATATATATATATGTGTGTGTGTGTATACATATATATATGACACATATTTGGTACATGCTAGAACCTCCTGCTCAATTCTTCTATATAGAAATAGCTTACATACAATACATATGTTCTATATTTTTTCCTCTGCGCATCATGCCCACAAAGTGGACATGAATGTCGTGAATGGTTTTGGCAAGCACAAGGTAAACCTCTTTGGCTCAATGGTGAAAGTGAATAGTATCAGTGCCAAAAATGGTCATCAGTTTGTAAATCTCTTTGGCTCAATGGTGAAAGTGAATAGATCAGTGCCAAAAATGGTCATCAGTGATTTTCACGCCCTTTCACGGCTATATGGCTTTTGAGGTCTAAATGGCTCAAACGAGCAATGTACCCGATAAACTTGTACAAATGTCACTCTAGGAACTATAGCAAATTGCGATGTCCTGTGTGTAAAAGCGTCTCTGTGTAAACGCGTCTGTGTGTAAAAGCGTCTGTGTGTAAAGGAGTCTGTGTGTAAAAGCCTCTGTGTGTAAAAGCTTCTGTGTGTAAAAGCTTCTGTGTGTAAAAGCTTCTGTGTGTAAAAGCGTCTGTGTGTAAAAAGGGTCTGTGTGTAAAAGGGTCTGTATGTAAAAGCGTCTGTGTGTAAAAGCGTCTGTGTGTAAAGGAGTCTGTGTGTAAAAGCCTCTGTGTGTAAAAGCTTCTGTGTGTAAAAGCGTCTGTGTGTAAAAGGGTCTGTGTGTAAAAGGGTCTGTATGTAAAAGCGTCTGTGTGTAAAAGCGTCTGTGTGTAAAGGAGTCTGTGTGTAAAAGCCTCTGTGTGTAAAAGCGTCTGTGTGTAAAAGCGTCTCTGTGTAAAAGTGTTAGTGTGTAAAACCGTCTGTGTCTAAAAGCTTTTGTGTGCAAAAGTGTCTGTGTGTCAAAGTGTTTGTGTGTGAAAGCGTCTGTGTGCAAAAGCGTCTGTGTGTAAAAGCGTCTGTGTGTAAAAGCGTCTGTGTGTAAAGGCGTCTGTGTGTAAAAGCGTCTGTGTGTAAAAGCGTCTGTGTGTAAACGCGTCTGTGTGTAAAAGTGTTTGTGTGTAAAAGCTTCTGTGTGTAAAATCTTGTGTGTAAAAGCCTCTGTGTGTAAAAGCGTCTGTGTAAAAGCTTCTGTGTGTAAAATCTTCTGTGTGTAAAAGCGTCTGTGTGTAAAAGCGTCTCTGTGTAAAAGCGTCTGTGTGTAAAAGCTTTTGTGTGCAAAAGTGTCTGTGTGTAAGGGCGTTTGTGTGTGAAAGCGTCTGTGTGTGTGTGTGCAAGCGTCTGTGTGTAACTGTGCGTGTGCAAGCATCTGTGTGTAAAAGCTTTTGTGTGCAAAAGTGTCTGTGTGTCAAAGTGTTTGTGTGTAAAAGCGTCTGTGTGTAAAAGCGTCTGTGTGTAAAAGCGTCTGTGTGTAAACGCGTCTGTGTGTAAAAGCGTCTCTGTGTAAAAGTGTCTGTGTGTCAAAGTGTTTGTGTGTAAAAGCGTCTGTGTGTAAAAGCGTCTGTGTGTAAAAGCGTCTGTGTGTAAATGCGTCTGTGTGTAAAAGCGTCTGTGTGTAAAGGTGTTTGTGTGTAAAAGTGTCTGTGTGTAAAAGCGTTCGCGTGCAAACGTGTTTGTAGAAGCGTTGGTGTGTAAAAGCTTCTGTGTGTAACAGCTTCTGCGGCTAAAAACTTTAGAGCTGGCCGAGTGTGCTGCATCTGTCGCAGACTCAGGTTCCATTGTTCCCGAGAACGCCTGAGCGCAGGGTTCTTCCAATAGTGGGGGTGTGTCTCTCATCTTCTCATCTTCACATCTTCTCATCTTCACATCCTCACATCTTCACATCTTCTCATCTTCACATCTTCTCATCTTCACATTTTCTCATCATCTTCACACATTCACATCCTCACATCTTCACATCTTCTCATCTTCACATCTTCTCAGCTTCACATCTTCTCATCATCTTCACACATTCACATCTTCACATCTTCACATCTGCTCATCTTCACATCTTCTCATCCTCACATCTTCACATCTTCTCATCTTCACATCTTCACATCTGCTCATCTTCACATCTTCTCATCCTCACATCTTCACATCTTCCCATCTTCACATCTGCTCATCTTCACAGCTTCACATCTTCACATCTGCTCATCTTCACATCTTCTCATCCTCACATCTTCAAATCTTCACATCCTCACATCTTCACATCTTCTCCTCTTGCCTTCTTGCCCTCTTGCCCTCTTGCCCTCACATCTTCACATCTTCTCCTCTTGCCCTCTTGCCCTCTCCTTCTTTTCTATGTCTCTTCTGAAGGCGGGGGCAGGGGCAGTGCCAACGAGACGGCACGAAACGCAACCCTTTCGCACGAAATGAAGTTCGATCGCCAAAAACTGAAGTAAAATTGCGATTTCAAGGTGTCCCGCGCAACCCTTTCGCACGAAATGAGGGTCGATCGTCAAAAACTGAGGTAAAAGTGCGAGTTCAAGTCGTCCCGCGCAACCCTTTCGCACGAAATGAGGTTCGATCGTCAAAAACTGAGGTACTTGGATGGGCTGTGCCTTTGCTAGTGGGTTAAGAGGTTTAAGATGTTTAGCTAACCTATAGCTAAGTCCTTATAAGTGTAAGTTGCAAAGCGCCATTCTGTCGACTCAGAACATGGTTTTGCTGAAAACTTTTCAAAAGTTTGAAAGAAAAATGTACCAATTTTTCTTGTTTTTTTCAAAGATTTTTCTACAAAAGCAAATGAAGTTCAGCAGATGGCTGGTGTCCAAGATTTGCAAAAGAATTCCAAGAAGAAAAACTTTAGTTTCTCCTTTGCCATTCCCAAATTGTATGTTTCTTTTCTGTGCCTTTTTTGAAAAACAAATTTATTCAAAAACATCGCCAATTTTCTGCCAATCTTGGAGGAAAACCACTTAGATTGGAATATACAAAGTCATTGCAGCCTTGCTGGTACCATTGAGACACAAAGCCAGGGTAAGCCAGAATGAAACAGCATTGAATATTTGTGCCCACTCCAAAGCCACCAAAGGCTTGCAAGCTCAATGTTTTTGAAAAAGCCATGAAGGCTTGAAATGCAGCCATGAAAGGCTTCAAATCCAGCCATGAAAGGCTTGAAGTCCAGCCATGAAAGGCTTGCAGTCCAGCCATTAAGGCTTTGAACAGCAGCCATTGCAGGCTTATAGTTCCCAGCAAAAAGCAATCTAAAGGCTTGGCACCACAGCCATGTCAATTCTGACACCAATGCATTTGTTCACCTCAAGTGGAAAGGAATCAATGTTAAGACTCCTGCTTTACAATGGCTGTATGTAACAGCTGTCAACAATTCAGAAGCTGCCACACACAGCCAATGGCCAGCCTCCTGCCACAGTGCATGGCCATTTTTGGAATCCACCAAATTGAGCATTTCTACAATGGACCATGCCTCATTGCCAATGGCAAAGTTAAGCAGCACCTTGGCTGCAGCCAGCTGGCCTTTCTTCTCACTGGCAAGCAGCACAACATCATTCACTGCTGCCACAGTGCCATTCTTCAGAACCAAAGTCTTGCAGCTTGCAATGTTGGTGCTGATGCCCAAATTGGCTTCCAGCCACGCCACCACTTTCTTGGGTGCTTTTGCATTCAATTCCAGTGCAGCTTCGATCCCAAAGGGCTTTTGAGCCAATTGGTGCAAACAATGCCCCAACACTTCCACCAGCAGACCCTGCTCAAAGTTCTTCAAATTTTGGACCCTAGTGGCCACCAAGGTCACATCCTTGTGTTTCCTCTCCATTGTCCAGCAAGGAAGCAGCAATCCATGTTCCTCCAACTCATCACCATAATGCAAAAGCCAATGGAATTTTTTGATGCAATGGTCTGAATACCCAGCTGTTTTGTAAGCTACCAAAACTTTGGAGGCAGCATTGTCAAGCATGGGGCCAGTCACACACCCCATTGGTGTTGCCACCAGCAAATCCATCATGTGACAAAGCTTCAAGAAAGCATCAGTTGCAGGACAAGCTCCACCTTGAGATTCGATCTTTTCCACATAGTGCTGCAAAATGGGGTACAAGCACAGCATTTCACTTGCAGTTGCTTTCACTTTGTTGGCATTTCTGTGTGAATCCACTTTGCCAGTTGTAAACAAAGAAGACAAAGCACCCACTTTATGCAAAGCTGATGGTAAGCACCACAAATCCAAATAGTTCGACATTGCATGCCAAGCTGGAAGGCCTTCAGATTGCAAATGCTCCAACAGCAAGTACATGCCAATGTTCAAAGTGCCATTGGATACCATGCCATGCATGTAGTCATGCATATATTGTGTGCAAGGTTTCAGCCAAGGCCTCAAGCTTGGAGAAGATAGTAAAGCTTCTTCAGAGAAAGTCCAGCCAGCGCATTGCTCCCAAACTTGAAACTCTTTTTTGGAGCACGCATTTTTCCTGTGTGCCATTCTGTCCCAACTTGCCAAAGCTTCATCATCAGTTGCTAGGACCAATTCAGTTTTGGAAATTGTTCTGAGAACTGCTTTCTCTGCATCTTCCTCCCCTTCATGCAAAAAGACAATTTGATTGCAACATTTCAGACAGAAATTGCTGCCACTGTCCCCTTTGAGTCCAAAAGTGACTTTTTGAGAGGCACCGTCTTGAACAATAAAACCTAGTTTGTAAAACAGTCTGCACTCCTGATTGCTGGGGCCATGTAGAAGTACACCAACCAAAGGTGATGCCACTGCACTGCAAAAGATTTGTTCCATCACTGCTCTCACCACTTGTGACATTCCACCTTCCAAAGTTGCCACAATGCTGGTCCTGATGATGCCAAGCACAAGCCAATTTTGTGTGTGACTCAGAGCTGCCCTGCCCAATTGCTTGATGGAACAATACACAACCCAGACTTTTTTGTTGGCCCTCCCCAAAGCATTTGCAGGAAGGCATTCATCAGAATACAAAATGAGGTCAAATTCATTGCCAGGCCCATTTCCCAAAGAAGTAATGGCTGTAGCCAGGGAGTTGTAGAAGGAACCATTGATGCTGTAGCAAGCACTCAGCAAAGAATGAAAATTGACCAAAGGGATGGCCACCACATTGGAAGTCTTTGCTGTACAGTAAAGGGCCATAAGCATGATATTGGTCAAGGTATCTTTGTGCAGCCTCTGTCATTTGCTTCCTGCCTGCCATCTCTGGCAGCCCATATTCAGCAATGTGTTTGACAATGGCTTCCAAAGAAGATTTTGAACAGTTGGGCACTGATCTTCTTAGAAGATTCAGTTTTTGTAGCTTTGCAGCTCTTTCTGCCATGGCTGCAAGTGGTAGAAACAATTCTGTAACTATCTTATGTCACATTGGAAATTCTGTGAGGTTATGTCTTTGGTAAGAAGTTAGAAGAAACATTTGATTGGGGATGCAGGTAGTGCCTAGGGCCATGAAAATTGAACACTGAACCAAAAAGCCTTGGGCCATCCAATGCTTTTGTGGTTGGCACTCAAAGCTGGGAACTAGCCATGCAAGGCTTCCTATTGCTTGCCAGTACTCAACAACCAGCCACTGAAGGGCTAACAGTTTTTGTCACAAGGATTTGCACAAGCCACCAGGGCTAACCAAAGCCACAAGGGCTTGAATAAGCCACAAGGGCTGGTCATAGCCACTTGGGCTAGCCCTCAACAACAACAGCCACCAAAAATTGCTAACTATGCTGCAACAGAAAGCTATTCTTTTCAAGCCAAGCTTGAAGCAAATCTCCCACCAGGCACACAGCCACCAATGTTGGGCACTGGGGCCTTTGCCAACAGATCCCAGCCAAGAGGTACATTTCAGCACCTATTGAACCCCAGAAAACTTTCACAGCACACTCACTTCCAGCCTTTTTTGGCTGCCATATCATTCCACTCATGCCTTCCATTGAATCTCTGTCCCTTGAAGCCTGGGCTTCGACACTTTTCACACCCTTTGGGGTTTCCCCTGCACCTGCAGCAGCCAAAGACTTTGGAAGTGCTAGCATTGTCCTTCTTCACAGTCTTCTTCTTCTCCTGGCCATTGCTGCAAGAAGCTGAAGATGCTGCTGGTCTCTTCATCACTTTGCGAGTTTTCTTGCTACTGAGAGCATCATGGGCCATTTGTTCAAAGTCTTCCAACCCAGGCTTATCATTCACCTGGTGTGGTGCACATGGAAGTGGAGGAGCATTGGGCAATGCCAAGGGCTGAGCAGCACTTGCAGGGGAAGGTACATCCTGCAATGCCAGTCTGGTGCCACCACTGCCACCAGCTTTTTGCTTCAGTTCTGCTTTCTCCTTGTCTTCATTGTACTGGTCAATGAACTTCTCCATCTTCTCCTGAAAGCCACCATCTGCCAGTGCAGCCTGTGGAGCAGGTGCACTCCTCTGGGGTTTTGGGATGCCAGTCAACAAGTTGGAAGTGCTCCTCAAGGGAATCTTGGGGTAGATGGCTGCCAATGAAACATTCATCAAAGCAGGCTGCTCAATGCCATAAGCCTTCTCCTTGAAAGCAGCAGTGAGCTGACTGGGGGAGAGCGGGTACACCTTGAGGCCAGGGAGGTCATTGTTAGCACAGTGACCAAAGGTTTTGGTTAAGTCTTGGACCATCCAGTAGATTGCCCATGGGTTTGGCATTGGCTGGTGCTGCAGGTTCACTAACACATGCAGCAGGACTCCCATGGCACTCCTTTTGGTGTCCTCTTTCATTGACCTCATCCCAAGGCTTTTGAGTCTTTCACAAATGACCCTCTGCCCATCCACATTGCTGCCTTGCTCCAAAGCCAACCAATCATTGCTGGTCAGGTAAGGTGGCAGGTTGTGCAAACTTTGGGGCCTTTGGGAAAGTTGCAAACCACTTTGGCCAGAAGCACTGAGGGCATCCATCTCATTCATCACATCATCCTTCAAACTCTCAGGCAAATTGGCTTCAGTGACTTTCTCATACAAGTCAGACAGACAAAGCACTGGGTGTCCAAGAGGTCACTCCATGCAGCCTTTGCTTCAAAGTTTCCAAAGCAGCTTTGCCAACTTGGGACCCAGGCCTGGCTTCCAGCAATTTGGAGACATGTTCCAATTCATTGCAAAAATCTTCTGTAGACCATTGGTGGCTCATGATGGGCCAGTGTGAAAGTGTGTATATGGTGAAACAAGGAGTGCTATGAACCCAAGGCTGCAAAGTCCTGGGTGAAATGCTGAAATAACAAAATACCACCAAAGCTCTCAATCTGACTTATAGCCACACTTGGGCTTCCACTTTGGTTTTGAGCCACTGGGGCTGGAGTATAGCCATTGAAAGGCTTGCCACACAGAATGCATCAATACAGCCATCTAGGCTTCAACAGTACCTTCTAGCAATCAAAGGCTGGGTCATCCAAAGGCAAGCAAAGCTCACAACATTGTTTTGAAACTGCAGACATGCAAGTTGCACAAATACACAAACTGAATTTGTTTGCACATGCCCAAGCAAATCAATTGGGCAAGGATTGCATTAAAGAATTTGTAATTTCTGTGTAGTATGTGACACACACTTCACAATCACAAAGCAGTGGGTGCTGTGCATCAGAATCCCAATCAGGGATAGAAGGTGGCTCCAGTCTCACTTGCCAATAGATCTCTTCCCAGCTAGTAGTGGTGCCACTGGGGTGGACAACTGTTTCCTCAGGAACATGTTCAAGAGCAGATGTGTTGTTGCTACTGCTTTGGCTGCCTGGGTCTTCTTCAGCAGGAATAGGCAAAATTGGCAAGACCATTGCAAATCAGCACTGGGCACCTCACTTTCCAGACCAAAAACTTGCAGGTGAAATTGAAGCATGTTGGGTTTGCAAAAAAAAAATGCAACTTACACAAAATATGCTGTGGATAGCTGTGAGTTTCTTGTATACTTTTGTGTGTGCAATAATTTGTAACCATATCTTGAACAATGTTTTTGTGAAAGTGGTTTATTTGGAAATATTATAGGATACAATGCTTTTGGAAACTATCATTGCATTGGGCCTGCAAGTGCTACCTAGCCATGAATAACAAAACACTCAAGCAAAGACAGCTTTGTTCAACAAATAGCCCCATGTGGCTTGGGAGCCCATTGTGCATTGACATTTGTGCCCCAAAAGAAAGCTTGAGTTTGGGTTGTACAAGTGAGCAACCATTACAGCTACTCACACCACAAACCATAGCCATAGCCATTAAGAGGCTCAGCAAAACCATACAAGTTAAACATAGCCATAAAGGCTGAACATAGCCATAATAGCTGGACATAGCCATAAAGGCTAAACATAGCCAAAAAGGTTAAACATAGGCTGTGGGGCTCAACACATGCTATGTAAGCCACTAGGGCTAAACAAAAGCCACCAAGGGCTAACTACAGCCACTAGGCTAAGCAAAAGCCACCAAGGGCTAGCTACAGCCACTAGGGCTAAACAAAAGCCACCAAGGGCTACCTACAGCCACTAAGGCTAATAAAGCCACCAGGGCTAAGCAGCCACTTTGGGCTCAACCATTTGCAAGTCAGCCTCCCCTCCCCAAAGAAAAGCCACAAGGGCTAAAAAACAAGCACTGCTAAACAACTTTTACCACTGCAGCCACACAGGCTTCATACCTCTTACAACCCATTGGGTTATGGCATGGGCCTTTGCTGATCACCTACCATGATGCTTTTTTTTGAACCATTTCTAAAACAGTTTCAGTTCACCCTCAGTACCTTTCAAGTTGAATGAATTACCTTTTTCAATTTCATTTCCATCATTTTGCATCATGATAGGTTCTTTTCCAGTCAGTGCCATGGTTCTTGTCCAGCTCATCATTGATTATCACCAGCAGTTTTGCCATTGCAGGGTGGGCATTGTACCTGAGTGGAATTGATGGGTTTATCACAAAAAAAGAAATACCTTACACCCCAAAAAAAACAAAAAAATGTTGTTGATAGCTTCCCAGTTGCTGTTTCTGGAGTTCTTTCACTTTGTCCCTTTCACCGCGGTTCAATCTGGCCAGCAGGATGCCACACCTATTCATCCATCCACTCCTGTGGCCTTCTTCCCTTTTCACTGCCACATTGGAATACCATTTCTGTTCCTCCTTGGCATTTTCTTCCTCCTTGACATTTTCAGTCTCATCATTGGCAGAACCAGAACCACTGCCACTTGCTGTTTTGCTAGCATTTCCATCATAGGTCTTCAGTTTCTTGGCAGTTACTGGTTGTGGCAATCCCCTTTTCTTCTTCTCAGCATTGATTGCATCGACAATCTTCTTCCTGGTAACTGTGTTTGATCAGAACCTACACCAAAATAAGCAAACATGTTGCCAAACCAAAAGAAAACAAAAACAAACAGCAAAATCAATACTATTTATAGCCAAGGCACTCCATCTCAGTGGCTGTGGTGCTCATTGTAAGGCAGCCATCCTTGCTGAGTTTTTCCAGCTTCACTTTCACTTCCTCTTGTAGTTGTTGCAGATGGGTGTCAGTCTCATTGTCATTGTCCACCTCCAGTTCCACCATTTCCATCTCTTCTGGTTCATGCAATGGTTCCACCACTGAAGCTGGGCTGGGTGGCTCAGCAGGTGCCTCTTGCTTCATCCTCACTTCCATGCCAAGTAGTTGCCATGCTTGACCAATTCCAAAACAGTCTTCATTCCCTGCCATTGCAACTTCAGTTGTGCAACTAAATTGCTACACAGTTCCAGATTCAGATTCAATATCTTTGCAAAAGATGCTTTGTAAGTTTTCATGATGTTTATATGAAACTCTATAGGTAAAAAAATAGATCTATTGATATCAGTTGTATATCAAGGTTTACAGTTCAAAATGTAAAAGAAACACACATACAAACATACAGAGAACAATGCAAGTTTGGGTTTCAATTTTGGAGCTTGTTTGTTGTTTTGTTTTCTTTGCCAAATCCATAACTTTTGCTGTCAAAATGTAAAAGTGATATTTTGAATTTATGGTTTTATTTTTCAGATTATGAGTTCAGGCTCTTGGTGTATGATTTCATTCTCAAGATTCTAGATTAAGATTCTTAATCTAGGATTCTATTTCTCAAATTCTAGATTAAGATTCTTAATCTAGGATTTCATTTCTCATATTCTAGATTAAGATTCTTAATCTAGGATTCCATTTCTCAAATGCTAGATTAAGATTCTTAATCTAGGATTTCATTTGTCAAATTCTAGATTAAGATTCTTAATCTAGAATTCTATTTTCCAAATTCTAGATTAAGATTCTTAATCTAGGATTTCATTTGTCAAATTCTACATTAAATTGTTTCATCTAAGATTTCACTTGCCAGATTCCAGATTAAGGTTTTCATTCTAGAATTTCATGTTCCAATTGTTGCATTGTTGTATTTGTTTTTTTTATTTTACCTGTTGATATTTGGTATATATGTGTGACATTTTTTTGTTTGTAGTTCAGTATTCTTTGATATATGTACTGTCTGAACCTGGAACTTCAGATCGGGCACCAGTGTTTTGGAAAGCAGTGAGTTTGCCAGTCTTCATGGAATGATGAACCAATGCAATCCAATATATATATATATATTCAATTGATCAAGATTCAAATACATTTCAATTCATCTACTCAATTGTAATGATATTGTCTCTAGATCTGATTTGTTTGTCTTATACTAACAAATGTAGAAATGAAATGTATGCAGTTCTATACATGTTGAGGCACTGGAGTGCTGCTGAACCAAGAGTGTAGCAATAAAAACATGTTTTGAAATGAATTGCTGTGATCCCACCATTCAAAAATAACAGCCACTTGGGCTATAGATAAAGAAAGCCACTAGGGCTAGTGAAGCCATTCAGGCTGTATGAAATCAGCCACTAGGACTAGAAATTGAGCCACTTGGAATAGATTAGCCAAATGATGCTGAAAACAATGAGTCACTAGGACTGGAAACAAAGCCACTGGGGCTTGATGAGCCATTGTGGCCAGATGAACCATCAAAGCTGCAAGTGTCAAGCCTTTCAGGCTGCAAATGATTCTTATTAAGCTGGATAAAATCAATCCAATTGTAAAATATCAAGCCACTGGGGCTCTAGGTGATCAACTGCAGTCAAACTAAGAAGGACACGCAAACAAGCCACCAGGGCTGGACATAAAAGCCACTTAGGGCTTCAATAGCCATAAAGGCGTGCATAGCCATTCAGGCTCCCAGGGCCCTTTGCCAAAGTCCAAGCAGCATTTTCACTCCATTGCCCAAAGAGTCATCCTCTCAGCTGTTCCACCATTGGAAACTGGACCCACTTGTTGCATGTAAAATGCATTTTGGTGATAGGTCCAATCCAGGCCCATGCCAATTCACTGATTTCATCATTGGGGTACCTAGTCTTCCAATGTGTTGCATCCCCAACATTCAAAAGAACTGTTTAAACCTTTCAGGGGAAAAACATAGCAACTTTACAATGAATCACATCCAAGACACCAGCTCTCCCATCAATTGCTGTATTTTGCAACTCGGTAGTGGATACCATTCCTGGTGATCCATCCAGAGAAGGCCACATTGGAGTACCTGTGCCACTTCTGCATCCTGAGATGATGCATTCCACAATTAGTTGAGATAAGAAACAAAGCCACCAAAGCCACCAGGGGCTTGATTAGCAATGGTCGATCTTATACCATTTGACCCATTGAAGGTGACACCAAAAAAATAATTGAGAAAACCAAGTGTCTCCCTTATCTCTCCATTGTCAAAGTAAAGGTAGGTCACTTCCTGGGTGTGCTTCACTTCCTTCAGTTGAGGAGCAGCTGGCATTGCTCTCAGACCTCTATCCAGTTCCTACACTTCCACTTTCACTATTCAGTTCCTACACTTCCACTATGGGGCCAAACAGTGGCAGGTAGGAAAAACATTAGGCTTGCTCCAAACAAAAAGCCATTGGCAATAGACATGGTGCCCTTTCTGCAGAGTGGTGTTATTACTTTCCATATACTGGAACAATGACCAATGTTGTGAAAACTACATGGTACCAAACCAAATTCAACAGAGTGGGTAAACATCACTACTTCATGAAACCAAACACTTGTGTAACAAAAAAGTCAAGGAGGCTTGGTTGAGCCACTGTGGGGCTTGAAAGCCATAAAGGCTACAGCCACTATAGGGCTAGGTATGCTTGAAGAAGCCTCACAGCCATTGAGGCTAAGGTGCAAGCCACTGCAGGCAAACCATAGAACCATGGAGGCCCAGGTGTCAGCCATTAAGGCTAAGTTTCCAGCCATTGAGGCTAAGGTGGGTGGCTAAGCCAAGATACCAGCCATTGAGGCTAAGGTGCAAGCCATGGTGGCTACAGTGCCAGCCATTGAGGCTAAGCCAAGAACCAGCCATTCAGGCTAAGATACAGGCCATTCAGGCTACATTTTGCAACCATTCAAGCAAAGGGGCAAGACATGATGACTAAAGCCACAGCCACTGGATTCAAGCCACAAACCATTAAAGACAAAGTACAAGCCATTCAGGCTCAGATTCAAGCCATTCAGGCTAAGCTGGCAGCCATGGAAACAAAGTGGCTAGACATTTAGGCTGAGAAGCCTGCAGCTGCAATGCAAACAGCTTTTTCCATTCCCACATAGCACTGGCTCCTCAGTTGTTCCAGTATTTGTAGTCATTGACAATCCAAGACCACCACCACAGGGTATCACACTGCCTGCATCGCATGTTGTCCTCATTCAGTCTCCAAGTCCATATCCAGCAGTGGCAAGGTCTAACACTTGATGCCCCCACACATTGCAGCCAGGAGCCCTCTGGGTGTCCCTTCACAGCCCATGCCCTGGCAGTTGCCCTGTTGGCTGAATGGCCTTCTTCCCAGGTCTGTGGGCCTTTTGGCCTTGCACTGCCCATTGCTGGAGAAGCTTGCAGGAGCTGCTTAAGCCAAGTGCTGCTATCATGGCACAATGGCTCCTGCTGGGACAGCCAAACAAAAGACATGAGCCACAAGGGCTGAACAGCAAACATGAGCCATCAAGCATGCCACCAGGGCAGAGCAAACAAAACCTGAGCCACCAATGGCTGAACTTAAGACTTGAGCCACTAAGGGCTAGACAAGAGAAGCCACCAAGGGCTAAACAAAAAAGACCCAAGCCACCAAGGGCTGAACACAGCACAAGAGCCCCATGGGCTTGCAACAAGTAAATGCAATACCTACCTGCACAAAAGACCTAAACTATACAATGTGTTTTGAACACAATTTCACACAAGATGCCAAGCAAGGAGGCAAACTTGGCAAGTCATTGAAGCAGCCCAGGCTGAGATGCAAGCCATTCTGGCCAACATATGGGCCATGCCAGAATTGTGGTACATCTATATCCATCCCCATGCAACTGTAGCAGCAAGGCTTTCATTTGTACATTGAAACATAAGCCAATGTCTGTTGTGAACCATTTATAGGGACAACACCATCCTGAAATGCCAAGGTTTACAGCCCAGGGGGGCAAGCATTCAAACCAACTGGGCAAAAGTTTCACACAATTACACAGACCACATGGAGCACAGCCATTCCAGGCTAACTTTGGCCAAGGGGCCATGCAGGCTTAGTGTGTGCAAAGCCATGAAGGCTGATGTGTTGGCAAATGCTTCTTGTGCAGCAGCCATTCCTGTTTTGACACCACCAGTTCTGGTTGTCAGTCTGCTTTCTTTGATTTCTTGACATACTGCCTCTTAGCAGCATTCAGGGCATCAGACACACCATCCTTCAAAAATGCAATCACTGCAGCCAACTCTTCAGGCACCAGCTTCACTAGAAGATCCCCCTTCCAAGGCCTGGTGCCTTGGCACAGAATGTGCACTGGCTGGTCAGCCACTGAAATCTGCACCACATGGCTACCACAATTTTCTTGCACTTTTCTTTTCTTGCTTCCAGCAGCAGTTTCATTTTGAGGCACTGCATCTTGCCACATGTCTTCTTTTTCCTCACCATCTTCAGTGCCATCTTCTCCAAGGTGTAGTGCTTCCAGTGCCCTGTTCCTCAATTTCACCAACTCCTGCAGCTTGGGGCTATTTGAGAAACATGCATTCTTCTTTGCTGATGTCTGGGACACCAGAGCAACAATGGTGTGTGAAGATGCCCTCAGTCTCAAATAGGTCACCCCTTCATATTCTTCCAGCAAGGTGCCTGGCACATGGAACCACTTCCCTTCATCACATTGAATTTCAATGCTTTGCCTGATTTTGACACCAGACATTGCTGCTGCCAGACTGCACTTGAACCAGAACCTTGCAATCAAAACAATACATCATTCTTTAATTCTTTGCAAGCACTGATCAGTGGAAGTAGCAGCCATAAAGGCTTTCTAACCCCCTGTCAGCCATGAAGGCTTCAAGCCAGGACCAGCCATGCAGGCTTGTATTTAGCCACAGCCACTGGGGCTAGAAGTGAAACAAGGAAAGCAAGCTCCATTTTTTGCCATGTTCACTGAAAGTGCTGGGTATGTTTCAGAACCAGACTTAGAAGCAACTCAGTGGCTGGGCTGGGCTTCTTGAACCTTCTTCTTCTTCTTGGCAATGTCCTTGGGGTTCTCAATGAGCAAGCACTCATTTGGCTGGATGGGCCCAATGTTCTGCAAGATGGGGATTTTGCAGCCATCCACTGACATTTCACCAAAGGTCATGTTGTGGTCTTCACCATCACCTGCAGACTTGACCCACCAAAATGGGCTCAGCACACCTTCATCCTTGTCGAAATTCTGCAAGGCTTTCATTTGTGAAATCAACCACATCTTCCCAAAGGCTTTGATGTAGTGCTTGTCAGCAACAGGGGTGTCTTTCAGCAAAGAGACAATGCCACAGGGGACCAGCTTCAATGCATTCTTCTTGCCAAATTTCTTTGAAGCCCACACATGGCTTGGATTGCTGGAGAAAACCACTTCCTTGCAAGTAGGGTCACTGTCTATGCAAGCCTGCAGCAAACACTTTTGCACATGACTCTTCTGGAATTCCAATTCCACAGCACCACTCTTCTGAACAGTGTGGCTCTCTGCCTTCCCTTCAGGGCATGCCACTGCCATTGATGCTTTGGTTGCCCTCCAATCTTTCAACTTCAAGAAATCCACCTTGACTTCCAGGGTTGGGTCAAACAATGGCTTGTGGATGAAGATGCAATGGTCATTGTGCACCTTGTCCAGTACAAAGATCTTGTTGGCATGGTCCTTGTTTTGGTACCTGGTGGGTTGGGAACAACAGTCACTTTGAAATTAAAAAGAAAAAGGGCATGAAACCTTTTTGGAAATCCAGCCAGCAAAAATTGATCAGCAAAACCCAAAGCATACTCATTGGCCATGCTGCTTCTCCTTCTCCTTGATGTGCACATTCTGCAACAAGGCCATCTCCTTTTTGCTCACTGCCAAAGTGTCACAAACTTGCAATTTGGACTCACTACTGTCAGCTTTGGCCTGTGCAACAGCAATGCCACCCAACTCATCAGTGAAAAGCTTGGACATGGTTGGGATGTGTTTGTGGCCATCGACTTCTCTCCCAAGCTTTTCTTTCTGCATTACATGCAGGCACAGCCTTGTTGCCAATCTCCCAAAGCAAGCCATCTTGTAGTTCTCGGACCAGGAATCTTCCAGTATGGTCCTGGGCCGGTGTCTGGGTACAGATTGAAGCAGCAAAGAAAAACAATGCAAAAACAACAGGTACTTTAGGTGGTGCTGGTGTTTGATAAAACAATGGAAAAGTCTGTGCTGGCAAGGGGCTCTGCCTCCAACAGTTTTGGTTTCACTGTTGGTGCCTTCAATCTCTCAATGTCTGCTTTTCCCAGCAGCTTTGCCACCCCATCCACTTGCCTGGAAGCTGTCATCATTGTTGCCCACCTAGGCTTCAAGAATGTTGGTTATGAATAATTTGTTGCCCAGCCCAAGAATTCACTTTTGTCAAAAAACAGCAATAGACAGGATTACTGGTGCCATTCAAGCCAAGGGCATCCCAGCTCTGAAGAACGGCACTAGGTTCTGCTCACCCTTGAGGTCAAAGTAGGTGATGGCTTTCATCATTTCCTCCCCAATCATCACAGTAGCAAAAGCTTTGCCTAGGCTGAAATGCAACAAAGCAAGGATGGGTATTTAGACAACAAGCACCAGGAAGAGCCACTAGGGCTTGCAAGTGCCCAGGGCAAAGCCATGTGGAGGCTGAATCATTGAAAGCCATGTTGAAGATTGCACATGCTGCATGGTGATGCCTGTGTGCAGCCCAAAAATTGAATTTGAGGAGAAACATCACCAACTCCATCTTCCGGCCACCACCAAACTTGGAGACATAGGTTGCAATTGCATCCAAGGACTTTTTGCAAGCAGGTGCACATGCCTTCAATTCCCCAAAGGCCACTTGCAGCTCTTGACCATGTAGTACACCTTGGGCCAGCTGGGCAGCACATTCAATTTCAGACAGTTGCTTGTTGTTGGAATTGGTGCTGTTCAAGGCCATTTGGAAAAAGCCAGGCATTTTGGGCCATTCCTCCTCCACTGCACTGCTCACTACAACCCATTGCCAGCCATCATGTAGCAGTGTTGAAACAGCATCACTTGTTGCTGTCACCTTGCCTCAGCTGCAATGGCCCTATGTCATTTGGCCCACCACATCCAGAGCCAACTGCTTTCAGCCATGCAGTGGAGTGGCTAGAGGAAACACTGAGAAACCTTTCTTGGCCAGTCATGGCAGCCAGCAGGCCACCACTACCTTCAACCAGCCTCTGATTGGCATTCAATTGCTTCTCTCTTTGGTCAGTCTTGATGGCCAGTTCAAAAGCCACTGAGCCAGTGAGGAGTTCTTTTCTCACCCCCACAGCCCACATTTTCATGCCCTTGTTCCAGCAATCCACTGCTGACAGCATTTGCCCACCCCTGTTGTCAGGGTGGGTCAAGATTTCACTGGGCTTGACCATCATTTTGTAAGCCAAGCCACATTGCAGCAATTGCTCCTGCAACCTTTCAACCTTGACTAACACTGGGTCTTCACTGGCCATAATTTCATCCACTTTGCTTTTGACATTGGGTGGCGCTGAAGACATGGTTTAAAAAGCACCAAGACTACCTGCAACACTCAGAAGCCAAGGCTGCATTGGCTTGGAAATGGTTCAACCACACTCAACCAAGGATTGGGGTTGCAAACATCATTTTGCACACAATTGCCACCAGGGCTGTGAACAAGTTAGCCATGGCAGGCTGGTAAAGTATATAGCCACCATGGGCTGGTTGACACAGCCATCAAGGCTTAGGCATCCTTTTTCAGGTTTGCAAACGTAGCCAGGGCTGGAGCTATACCACATTGCCACTAGGACTGCCATGCATTGCCACCAAACATAAGAAACAAACAGCTTGGTTGGAAGGAAGCAAGATTCCAAGGCAACAAAAACAAATCTGGTAGAATTTCAATAGAATCAAAGCTTCAAAGCAAAAGAACAACAAGCATGCTTGCAAGGGTTCACCCACAAGAAATTGGAAAGCACCAGCCATGTGCAGGTTTGGTACACAGAGCTGAAACAGCACTTGTGTTGCTTGCAAACAAAATACATATGGTGTGCACATTGGCCAGCAAGTTCCAACTGGCATTTTTGTTTGTTTCCACAAAATCACAAAAAAGAAATATGCCTTGTTTTTTTTGTTGATACTTTTACTTTGAAATTTCCAAATTGTATTTTCAACACAAATCCTGGCAACACATTTTCACTTGCCAAATCAAAATTTGCTAGAAAGTCACTAATATAAAAATAAAGAGAAAAATATTGCTAAACAGGCTAAACCTCCTAAAGTCTTAACATGTTTAAGATGGCTAGCTAAAAAAACTAAACTCTTAGCTAAACATCTTAAACCTTGTAACATGTTAGCAGAATGTTAGCAATATGTTGACATATGATAAGCATATGCTTAACAAGCCCTTAGATAAACATCTTAAACCTCTTAACCCACTAGCAAAGGCACAGCCCATCCAAGTAAAAGTGCGAGTTCAAGTCGTCCCGCGCAACCCTTTCGCACGAAATGAGGTTCGATTGTCAAAAACTGAAGTAAAAGTGCGAGTTCAAGTCGTCCCGCGCAACCCTTTCGCACGAAATGAGGTTCGATCGTCAAAAACTGATGTAAAATTGCGATTTCCGGGTTCCCGTTGCAACCCTTTCGCACGAAATGAGGGTCGATCGCCAAAAACTGAGGTAAAATTGCGATTTTTCTGCGTGTACAAAGCTTCTTTCTGTGTGCTGTGTGTCAAAAATTCTGTGTGTAAAAGCATCTGTGCGTAAAAGCCTCTGTGATGTAAAAGCGTCTCTGTGTAAAAGCGTCTGTGTGTAAAAGCGTCTGTGTGTAAAAGCGTCTGTGTGTAAAAGCGTCTGTGTGTAAAAGTGTCTGTGTGTAAAAGCGTCTGTGTAAAAGCGTCTGTGTAAAAGCGTCTGTGTAAAAGCGTCTGCTTAAAAGCTTCTGTGTGCTCTGTGTAAAAGCGTCTGTGTGTAAAAGCGTCTGTGTGTAAAAGCGTTTGTGTCAAAAGCGTCTGTGTAAAAGCTTCTGTGTGTAAAAGCGTCTGTGTGTAAAAGCCTCTGCGTGTAAAAGCTTCTGTGTGTAAAAGCCTCTGCGTGTAAAAGCTTCTGTGTGTAAAATCTTCTGTGTGTAAAAGCCTCTGTGTGTAAAAGCGCCTGCGTGTAAAGCCGTCTGTGTGTAAAAGTTTCTGTTGTGTAAAAGTGTCTGTGTGTCAAAGCGTTTGTGTGTAAAAGTGTTTGCGTGTAAAAGCGTCTGCGTGTAAAAGCGTCTGCGTGTAAAAGCGTCTGTGTGTAAAAGCGTTTGCGTGTAAAAGCTTCTGTGTGTAAAAGCCTCTGCGTGTAAAAGCGTCTGCGTGTAAAGCCGTCTGTGTGTAAAAGTTTCTGTTGTGTAAAAGTGTCTGTGTGTCAAAGCGTTTGTGTGTAAAAGTGTTTGCATGTAAAAGCGTCTGCGTGTAAAAGCGTCTGCGTGTAAAAGCGTCTGTGTGTAAAAGCGTTTGCTCTAACCCCTTGTCGCCCAAACTGAGAAAGTTAACGCATACCACGCAAATATCGTACTCCACATACCTGAGCGGGAACGCACTCCACAAGTTTAACACACTCCACAAATTTAACGCACTCCGCAAAGGTAACGCATACCATGCAAACATCGTACTCCACAACACTCCACATATAGTGGCTCTAGGCTATCCACAGGAACAATGCATACCTGAACTTCATCGCCGATCATGGCAGTGCCTGGACAATCCCTTAAACTTGAAATAGGCATGCTCAATCTGCATACCTGTGTGGGAACGCGCTCCACGAAGTTAACGCATACCGTGCAAACATCATACTCCACATAGTGAGTTCAGGCTACTTACAGGAGTAACGCATACCGATGCTTCATCGCATACCATAGGATGGACGAATACCACCAATATACCGCCTTTCAGGGTACTTCAGCCATTTTGGCTTGGAGTATGGCCAGCCTTGGAATATGGCTAAGATTCTGGTAGATTTGCGTGTAAAAGCGAGTGTGTGTGTGTAAATAAGTCTGTGTGTGGAAATGCTCTCAGAATGACTGAACTGTGTGGTGCAAAAGCGTCTGTGCGTAAAAGTTTCTGTGTGTAAAAGCGTCTGTGTGTAAAAGCGCCTGTGTGTAAAAACGTCTGTGTGTAAAAGCTTCTGTGGTAAAAGCGTAAAAGATTGTGTGTAAAAGCGTCTGTGTGTAAAAGCAACTGTGTGTAAAAGCGTCTGTGTGTAAAACTGTCTGTATGTAAAAGCGCCTGTGTGTAAAAGTGTCTGTGTGTAAAAGTGCCTTGTGTGTAAAAGCGTCTGTGTGTAAAAGTGTCTGTGTGTAAAAGCGCCTGTCTGTAAAAGCTTCTCTGTGTAAGGGGCTCTCTGTGTAAAAGCTTGCTCTGTGTAAAAGCTTCTGTGTGCAAAAGTGTTTGCGATGCAAACTATTGTCTTGTACTTATGCTATATCGTCTTGATACTCCTCTTTTCGACTGTGTATAACACATCTTTAATATATTGTTTTGTAATATGGTGTCTCAATACTAACAAGAGAAGACTCTGCTCCTCTACGCTCTCGGGCCATCCGTCGTCTAGTTGTTATTTTGTTTTTAGGTTGTCTTTTTTTTAATTACGTTTTGAAGTTTTTGTTTTTTTTTAAATGTTTATGCTGAGTGTGTGTTTTCGAGGCCCCAAGGGAGATCGTTGCGTCTGAGCATAACACCGATGGGGCGTGACGTATTGCTGCACAGAGAATTGTTAGTGATACGACAAAATGCGGAGGGTCGTATCTGGGCAAGGTACTACGGTCCCTTGTATCTTGGCAATACAACTCTCGGCAACTCAGCAGAGCACGTCTTGATCACCTTTCATCCCTTTCAGCCTTGAGTGCCGGCGACGGGGAAATCTGTGATGGTCGTTAGCCACGGATCGTTCTCGACGGCTTTGCGCGACACTGCAACTGGGCGCCACGAATCCGTTTGATGAGTGGCGCGGGTCGGCAGAGTTGCTGCGTTTTTTCATTTCTGCTTCGTGAGCAGCTTTGCGCAAGACAAACATTGCGCACGACAAACTTTGCGGCTGTCCTCTGGAGGAAAAGTTGGAGAGCTCTGGATTTGCACTTTAAAATCTGTTGTTTCTTTCTGATATTGACGGTTCGTGCGTGACGGCATGCGGGCATCTATTGTTTTCTTTCTGCCGACGATATTTTCTCATTGGACGCCTTCTTTCCTTAAAACTGCATCTGCCGGGTGTCCTCTGGAGGAAAAGTCGGAGAGCTCTGTGATATGCACTTTACTGTTGTTTCTTTCTGATATTGACGGCTCGTCTGTGATGGCAGGGCTCAGGCGCAAGCTGACACCAGCTGCTCGTTCGGCCAGGGCCTTAATCCTTTGCGGGTTGATCGTGGGAAACTCATCTTTGAAATGGATGTGACACATGTGGGCGATGATCTTTATGACCTTGCGGTTTTCAAATTCGTGTTGTTTGGAAGGTACTTGGGAGTTATTTGTACTTATTCTTGCTTGTTCAGAGCCGATGTTGAACTGGAAATGCTGAGGGTTTCGATTGCTTACGAATTCATTTCATGATGCTTCGTTGGAATATCTATTCATGCATCACTATGCTTCTGAAAGATGGGCATCAAACAAACAACATGGTGGCGTCATGCAATCAACTTCTTATTGGCTTTTGCATGCGACTACTGACATTCCTCATTGCACCCCCATGCATCCCTCGCCCGCTGCGCCCGTCAGGGCGCCGCACAGTTGTATTTGTTTATACTTATATTCTTTTGTTTCTATCCCCGAATACAGTTTTCAGCGATTTTTTTTTGTTTGGAGATATGTGGTTCTTTTTTGTTTGGAGATATGTGGTTCGGTTTCTGTTTCCGAAACTGTTTTTATCTTGACATGTGGCTTCAATTTCCAATGATATGTTGTCGTGATTCATTTACCACCCTTCGTGTACTGTCATCGTCGTCTGTGATATTTCTTTTGGCGTTAGCTTGGTTTCAGAGCGCCATCAAGCAGCACAGCACCTGCTCATAGAGATTCAGGCATTGCTGGAATTTGAATCAGCAGCGCAAGGCGCCGCGGAAATCTTCCCGGAGGAGCCACTGCGGTTGGTCGTCTCCGGACCGGGGGCCATGCACCGGATGTAGACACGCGCATTTTGCGCCAGATCGTTTCGGGCGGAAACATTGGTCTTCGTGTATATTGCTGGATCGTTGAATTTCATGGAGACTCCAGACGCTGTGTGGAAGTTGCCACACATCGGGCGGTACCACGACAAATGGCCGTTATTCGGTTGAAGGACAATGGGGTCAACGAATTCTGCCTATTCGATGTCTCGTGCCACTCTTCGCATGTGTGTTGTGAGTTGGGGATGTTTAGTTTCGTCCCCCCACCCTGGCGGGGCTCAGGCGCATCCTTCGACCGCACCACGTCGGGCCCTCGTCGGAATTTGGTGTGGTTTCCTCCTTCAGCTTTGCTGTCGATTAATCAAGCACCCAGTTATTGCAAAATTTCCCAATTGATTGTGACACCATACAAAACACCAAGGTATGAGCCACCAATGGGGCCACCTTTGTTGATGTTCTCCCAATGGAGTGATGATGGTGGCCAGAGAGAAGTGGCCATGCTCCAAAACATCCAGGCCACCTACTATAGGACTGTTGACAACCATGTGCTGTTGAACCACCATCTATGCATTTTCATGTGTGATTTTGTTTTGGCTAGCACCTGGTGCTTTTCATCTTGTGCTGCAGTGGCATGACTTTTGTTTTCATGGCTAGATTTTATGCCAGGATCTCCAGGGATGGTTTAGCAGAGTTGCTCCTCTACCATGACTACCAGGAAAGGCAGTATGAGGTGGACTACTGGTTTGGCACCCACTGCCACTGGCCAAACCCCTTCAACTTCACATAAAACTAAGGGCACCATGTTCAGCCGAAGTGCTGAACCACCAGCCAACCAAAGCTAGATACCAACCAAGAGAGAAAACATCTTGCAGTGCAGATTTAACAAGTTGTTTCTTCACATGTGCCAAGAGAAGCACGCAGTGCTTTAACATACATCCAATTTCAAAATTTGGGTGAGATCAGCAGCAAATTTTCCCAAAAGCTTCATGATCTTCTCAATGGCACCAACACTGCAGCTCCCACCCCTTCTTCCGCTGCAGAGCAAGAGGTGCCAGAGTCCTTTCAGGAGTCGACCTTGTGTTTCCATACATGGAAATATTTTATCCAGCACACAGTGCTTCCATCCTTCTTGTCAAATTTCTTTTTGAAATGTTTGTTGCCAGGAGAGCCATGGTGCCAAGTTGATTGCCAAAGGAAGTGGGGCATGGGAGAGAACCAATTTTACCACCAGAAAGGTGCTTTGAAGCATTGGCAATTCAAGTCCATGACTGACACTGTTGCCAAATTTGAGCACATGCCATTGTTTCCACCCAAAGATGGCCAACCATGGAAGATGGAAGTAGAATTGGAGGAATTGAAAAATGCCAAGAAGGCTGCCACTGAGCCACCACAGTTGCTTCTGAACCAAGCCATGCAAGACCTTTTGCCAGAAAGCTTGGGCACTTTCCACCAAGACAAGTTGAAGGCAGAAGCCACCATTGCCATGACCCAGCTGTACCATGAGTAGCTGGGTTGCAATATGGTTGCTCAGGAATGAAGTTTGACTTCAATTCTAGACATTGTTTTGTGTTTTCAAATTTGTATCTGTAGCCTTTAGTTGCTTTCAACTGAGGAACTTGTTGCCAGAAGGCTCAGTGGCAGTTGCAGAAAGGTCTTTTGGGCTCTTTGCCAACAAGACATTTGCCAAGGAGGTTTATGCCATATATGGATCATTTGCCCAACACAAAACCAAGCTCCAATGTGAAGATGCTTGGTTCATTTTAGCCATATTGCCATCCACTATAGTGGCTGAACTGGAAGCCAGCATTGGCCAAGTCTTTGCCAAGCTCATTGAAGCAATATTCTTGGGGCCAGCTTGTGATCCAAGGATTGGCTTGTACATGCCACACCCAGTAACCTGCATGGATGTCATGCTGTACTTTGATTTGGGTGGCTTTGTCCAAGATGGCTTAGCCATGAAGCAAACCTTCAATATCAAGGGGGCTTCTGGTGACAAGTTTTGCATGTTGTGCAGCAACATCAGGGCCATTTCTTTGGATTTGCCACCAGTTACACCAGAGGAAGATATACCAGGGTCTCATGTGACCAAGCTTGCAAATTGCATCCTGCCCACTGACTAAGAAGTTTTGGATGCATTCCAGGTTTGCAAGGAAAAGTCTACCACATTACCCAAGAAACAATTTGAAATGTGGGAGAACGCATGTGGCATCACCTTCAACCACCATGCCCTTTTGCTCAACCAGACCCTTTTGGATAGCCACCTCTTGAAGCCAATTAGTGGCTACATCCATGACTGGATGCACACCATGGCTTCCCAAGGGGTGATCCAAAGGTCCATTTGGCTGCTGCTTTCCCAGCTGGACATGTGGGACCAGCTGGAGCCATTTCTCCAGTTGTGGACTTTGCCAAAAGCCATGGCCAAAGCAGGAAACTTGCATGATTTGTTCCAGACCAAGAGGGCCAAATTTTACAAGGAAAATTCCAAGTTCAAATGCGCAGCATCAGAAGCCATTGGCCTCTCCACCATGCTGGCATACCTGGTAAACACCATTTGTGCGCCAGCTGCTGCCCATTTGGACCAATGCCACAGCTTTTTGGCCATGGTGGAAGCCTTGGAAACACTGCAAGCCACCCAGCTTGGCCAAGTGCAGCCACCCAGGTTGCAGCAAGCCATTGAAAAGGCCTTGGACTTCTTCAAAGATTGCAATGGCGAAGCCATGATGCTGAGGAAGCATCACTGGATGCTCCATTTGGCAACCCATTTGCAAGTATGGGGCTTTCTTCCCAACTGTTTCAGCCTTGAAAGAAAGCACAAAACCACCATGAAGTTTGGCAACCAGACCAAGAAGTTGACAGGATTCAGCTTCAGCCTGCTGGAGGAATGCCTAGCCCATGACTTGTACAACTTGCAGCATTCAGACAACTTGGAAGCAGGGGTGCAATTGTTGAACAAGCATGCTCCCAGTTCAAAATTTCATGATTTTTTTTGTGCTGCAATTTTCAATCAGCAAATTCCAAAGGACCAGGTTTGGACTGCAACTTCAGCCAAGTTGCACAATGGTGCCTCCATCCACAACAAGGATTTTGTTCTTGTCAGCAGCACCAATGCCTATAAATGGCAAGTTGCCAGAATGGAACACCACTTTGAAGTCCAAGGGGTTGTGTACTCTATTGTGACTTTTTTGCACATGCATAGAATATTTTTATTCCAGCCATTCAGCACAAGTCCAAATTCAGGATCAGCTGCAGCTGATAGAAACTTCTGCCATCCTTTGCCCTCTCATTTATGCAGAGGAAGAAAGAGCCACCAGGGTTCTCATTCCATGCCTACAGACCATCCAAAGACTAGATGCCATTGATGAAGGAAAATCAATGCTTCCCAGGTGCACAGTGTTCAGCATTGTCTTTTTGTTTGTGACATGCATGGAAGGGTTGCTTGGAGCGTGTAGCACACAGTGCTTTCACATTTTCATGTTGTAAAGGAAGCTTCACAAATCTCATGTTTTCACTGTGTGCTTTCCAAAGCCCAGCACCTTGTGCTTTCCAACCACCAGCATTGATGGGCACAGCATTGCAGTGCCAATGGGTGCCCATCATGGATATGGTGCAACAAAATCAATGCAAGAGCCACCTGCACCCAGCGTGGCAGACCATGGATTCGATCCTTCATGGATATTGGCCCACATTTTTGTGGGGAATGGCCTCCACCTGCAGACCACCATGAGCAAGGAGGCAATGACCAAGCACCAGACCAAGGGCACCATGACCAAGGGCACCACCACCAATGGAATTGGTGACCATGCCATGGACAAGGACCATGCAGTACCAGTATGAATGGCCACATCAGACAGTGACCATTGCCAAATGCTGCAATGTCTTCGCAGGTGGAAAAAAGTTTGCAGTTTCCTGACCAATGATGTCTCTAAGTCTTCTCCATGCGCATTGCTTTGAAAGCACCAATTTATAGCACCCAGTGCTTTTGGCATGCCACCTGGATAGATTCCATTTTAACACCCAGTGCTTTTGCCTTAGCACCCATTGCTTTTCATACATGCAAGCCATGCATGCTTCATGGACATGTTGTTTTTGTGATAGCACTCAGTGCTCATGGCATGACATGGCTTTTGTGCAGAAATTTTTCTTCCAGTGAGATGCAATCACACCATGGGCACTGAGCTGAATGAATGGCTTTTGCATGGAAATCCAAAGCAGACTTCCATGTTGTACATACAACCAAATCCAATGGATTTGTTATATGTTGTTGCCAGGATAATCATTATAGCCATCAAATGCAGAAAATCATGCACCATCCTGATGAGTTTTGTTATTATATTTTCTTTCTTCAACAAGTTTAAGTTCCCACCAAAACACTATATGTTAAAGGATTCCATTGAACAAAATTGAACCTTAGCAGATGCTTAGCTTATGTTTAGCTAAGTGCCTCCTAAGTGGACTAAGCAGGCTAAGTACTTAGCAAGGAACCGTCCTTCTCAAGTTGGGAAATTGGACTCATAGCTAAGCTATATACACTACGCTATACCTACCTGCTTATGGTACACATAGTGGGGGCTCAGGGGTCGATATATTTCAACTTAGATACACACAAATGCAAGGTCTTTACCCGCACCACTGCAGCAATGCCGAGCGGCAAACAGCTAACATAGCAATCACCGAAGATTTGCCCCCTATCAGTGCTTTCACCCCGCTGGCTGGATCAATGGAAATAAATGGCTTTGCAGCCAAATTTATGAAATTAAGTCCAAAGTTGCGGCCGTTCCGAGTAGCAAGTATTTGAACAAATTACCTTTCAACTTTTGTTACCGTAATAATATTGCCCAGTAAAAGAAAAGATCAGGCCCCACGGAGTCAGTCTCCGAAGCACTTTTCATCTTTTTCAATGCCCAGAATGCACCAAGCGCGGTTTGCAATACTTCGCTACAATTTTGTTGTGCATGGCCGTTGCCGTTTGCAAGGCAGCATTCCTCTCGGCAGAAAGGTCAAGAATTTGATCGGCTCCTCGTCGGTACTGTTTTGCGACGACCTGTCTGAAAGCCTTGGGATTCTGCCTTGACCCCATAAAGGACAAAAGGTCGGCAATGCCTGCGTTGGGTGTTTCATACTTCCAGCAAGCTATAAAGGAAGGATCGATCAAGTTGAGCTGCGCACTCAGCAATGCCAGGCTCGAAGTGTACTTTTTGATTGCATGCATGACATCAGGTTCAAAATTCCTTTTCATGGCGCTGCGAACTGCACTCGTGGGATGGCGGACCAACAGTACAATACGTAAATCGATGCCCGCATCTTCAGCCACTTTCGCTAGTGCATGGATGTCTGGGTTTTGAATCGCTCTGTCAGGGCCCAAAAAATTTGGAAAAGACATCATCCCAGATGTATTTTCGCACAAAACATTTAATGGCACAATACCGCCACCCTGTTTGCGAACACTTCGTTCCGCATCTGCCATCAATTGCATAACTCGAATAGCAGAATTTGACCGAATGGATTCGTTGTAAGTGCTGAAAAACCCAAGCCTGTGATGCCCGTCGTACAATTCGGTAGACAAAGCATCTGACCAGTTCTTAAATGGGTTTAAATATGGCAACAAAATTTGCCAAACGTGATGACCCGTGCCTTCAATTCCAGCAAAAAAAACAAAGCGGCAGGTTTGACTAACAATTCGTTTTTCCAACAATGCCTGGGAGTCATGCGCTTTGTCATGGCATGATGGCCACCAAGGCCAATCTCCCCTCCACAAAAACATTGTAGTGGACGGATGGTCGAAAAAACGACCGGAATCATACGAAATGTCGCACAAACCGCCACGAAGCCAACGATGCCGAGCAATGGCACAACTGTAACTCGAAAGACTGAAACCTGAAAATTTTTGGGCTCTTTCCAGGATCAACTGATTTATTGGGCCGAAGGAATCCAAACCATCCAAAGTTTCCAGAACATCTGAGAAGTTCGACAAAGCCACAATGGTGTAAGGTCGCAGCGCTTGCGCAAATCTTTCCAATGACACCTCATCAAGGCAGGCGACAACAAACAATGTCATATTCTTTGTTTTCCTTGCGCATGACTGCGCGCCAGTAAAACATGGGAAAGCATGAAAAACATGAAAGCATGGAGAAACATGAACAAGAGCTTGTTTCCGGAGAGTGGAACGCATGGTAGAGAAAAGAAAGGGCCAACAGCTGGCCGGCGTTTAAGGTTTCCATTTTTTCCCCTTTTCAGCTTTAAATTTAAACATTTTGAAAATTTTGGCTTTACGGGATGTGTCAGACACAACGCATTATTAAACCAACTCTTTCCCTGCAAAATTTCAAGCATCTAAATCGAATTGAATGTTGTAAAGTACAACCGGATCAAAACTTGGAAGAACAAACCGATTTATTAAACTAAGAAAATGTGTAGAATACCAAAATCAATATTGATATTAATATATACACTATACATCAATCTCATTATATACCAGTAGTACCGCACAAGGCGGTGGCGGAAGTTTCAAAAATAGGAAACCTATAGGAGAAGTTGGTTGTTGTGAATCAGGGATGGCAGAGCGAAGCCACTGATTGACCGAAAGGTGGTTGGAGTTGTGTTTGCTGGAATGGTTGCAATGGTTGCAGCGGTCACCTCACCCACAACTGCTGGATGTAGTGTGATGTACTGCAACTGTAGTTGTAGTTGTAGCGTAGTGGAGTTGTGGTTGTGGTGTAATGTAATTAGTGTAGTGTAGTTGCAGTCATATAGTTGTAGCTGTAGTTGTTTTGTAGTTGTAGTTGTTTTGTAGTTGTAGTTGTTGTTGTTGTTGTAGTTGTAGCTGTAGTTGTTGTGTGGTTGTAGTTGTTGTGTAGTGTAGTTGTAGTAGTAGTAGTAGTAGTAGTAGTAGTAGTAGTAGTAGTAGTTGTTGTTGTAGTAGTAGTAGTTGTTGTTGTTGTTGCTGTTGCTGTTGCTGTTGTTGTTGTTGTAGTTCTAGTTGTAGTTCTAGTTGTAGTTGTTGTGTAGTTGTTGTAGTTGTAGTTGTTGTAGTTGTAGTTGTTGTGGTTGGTGTTGTTGTTGTTGTTGCTGTTGCTGTTGTCGTCGAAGTTAGGGTAGTTAAGTTAGTGAAGTTAGTTAAGTTAGTCAAGTTAGTTAAGTTAATCAGTGTCTACTTTTTCGACATCTTCACGTCAAAAAAGGCTCAAAACCCGCAGTTTTTTTACACTTTTGACTTCGAAATGTGCTTCGCGCCACAACGGCGTGCACTTTTTCGACACTTTTTCGACATCTGAACCTCCAAAAGTGGTCCGAGACCGCCAGTTTTTAACACTTTTGACTTCGAAATGTGCTTCGCGCCACAACGGCGTGCACTTTTTCGACATCTTAACTTCCAAAAGTGGTCCGAACCCCTAGTGTTTTGTACATTTTGACTTCAAAATGTGCTTCGCGCCACAACGCCGTGCACTTTTTCGACATCTCAACTTCCAAAAGTGCTCCGAGACCGCCAGTTTTTAACACTTTTGACTTCGAAATGTGCTTCGCGCCACAACGGCGTGCACTTTTTCGACATCTCAACTTCCAAAAGTGCTCCGAGACCCAGGTGTTTTGTACATTTTCACTTCGAAATGTGCTTCGCGCCACAACGGCGTGCAATTTTTCATCTCTCCTCTGGCCAGCTGGCTCCGCACCCGCCGCTTTAGCGAGCCTACTTTTCGACCCTCCGGAGCCAAAAATCATTGGAAAAACACAGTGTTTCGCGACTTTCCTACCTTTTCGCGCATCTGTATCTTCTGTCTTCTTACTCTTTCTCTTCTAATCTTTCTCTTCTCTATGCCTCTTCCCTGCTCTGCTTTTCATCTCTCCATATTGTCGGAAGTTTGACTTCTAAACTTCCTTCGATCAATATTGAAAGAAAAACTTCATAGCACATCGCAGTTGCCAGTTTCTACATAGCACAACATACGTGTGGATATATGCATATATGTATTTGTTTGTTTACGTACATATATGTATGTATAATACATCATGCTAGCTTTTTTCCTCACATCTTTGTGTGGGGTTCTCGTTTTTGGTTTTGCGCTCCCGTCCGCGTCCGCCCCGCCTCCTCCTCCCGCCCCGTGCACCCCCACACCCTCACACACACCTCTCTCACACACACCTCTCTCACACACAACTCTCTCACACACAACTCTCTCACACACAACTTACTCACACACAACTTATTCACACACAACGTACTCACACACTTGCTCAGAACTGTCATTGCGAATTTTGTTGTGGAATGCATCTTACGTGCAAAAACACTTCCATTATACCTGACAGGAGTGGGTCAGTGAAGAGACCCGACAAAGTATCACGAAGTTACCATCGCCATAGCCAGTGCTGAAAAGATTGAATGAATTGGAAACTGACTCTTCCCCTTCCAAGAAAATTGCAGATTGCGACAACAGTGCAGCAGAATGCAAAAAACCACGTGGAGGTTCTTGGGTTGAGCCTCTTCCCATTGTCACATTGTGAAACCCTGAACAACAGGTAATCACAACAATGCAGGTACGCCAGACTGGCAAAGTCTGGTATCACCGTCGATGGTAAGTGTCTTCGTAGGCAGGAGACTTACCATGACGCTCCTGCCCCCTGCATCTAAAATCATCGTGACGTCAATCTACGCGACTACAAACCCTCTTTATCCAAGAAAGACAGTGGTATATCGTTCCAACAGAAACCGGAGCAGCACCAAATTAGAAGTTTTACATCTTTTCAGATGGTTCACGCACACACACAAACTCTCACACGCAACTCTCTCACACAACTCTCACACACACACAACTTACTCACACAACTCTCTGACACACAACTCACTCACACAGCTGTTTGTGTGGCAGGCATGGCATTCAGAAGCATCGACCTCCATTCTGGGTGGCAGGCTTGGCACTTGGCGACATCGACCTTCACTTTGTGTGGCAGGCGTGGCACTTATGATACTGGGCTGGCTCTGGTGGTGCGCTTGGTTCCCTGGCACACAACTCACTCACACAGCTGTTTGTGTGGCATGCGTGGCGTTTGGAGGCATCGACCTCCACTTGGCGACGTCTAGTCTAGGCTTCACTGTGTGGCAGGCGTGGCACTTGGGGCGCTGGGCTGGCTCTGGTGGCGCACTTCCGGTGACGCCGCTCCATTTTCTTGCCTCTGTACATTGGTTGCCCTGGTTGCCCTTGGCCTCCCTGATCCCTGTGGCCTCCCTCAGGCAGAAAAAGATACATGGGATATTGTTTAAATCAGCTGTTAAAGATGTTTCAGGTTATCAGCCGTATTTTTCCTTTGTCAAGTCGTCGTCGTTTTGTTTCACTGAGAAGCAGCAGCTGTTGTGTAAAAAAGATCAAACGTGCTGAAGACGAGCACCTTAAAGGACCCTGAAACAATAAATTTCAAGCACATTGTAAACTTATGTCACAATCAGGGAGGTATTGCTCTGTTAATTCGTCTGAATTCTTTTAGTCTATGGCTATGGATGTCGAATCTTTAGAAGAAGGACAGTATAAAATTTACTTTTAAGTTGGTTGAAATCGTGAAGGTAAAAACCCAGGCATACTGAGCAGGGTCTTCTGTTGTTAGTATTGAAACAAAAACTATATAATTACATGACAATATATTAAAGATGTATTATAGGCAGAGGAAACAAGTAGCATCAAGACAATTTACACACAGACGCGTTTACACACAGAGACTTTTACACACAGACACTTTTACACACAGACACTTTTACACGCAGACGCTTTTACACACAGGCGCTTTTACACACAGACGCGTTTACACACAGACGCTTTTACACACAGAGCTTTTACACACAGGCGCTTTTACACACAGACACTTTACACACAAACGCTTTTACACACAGATGCTTTTACACACAGATTCCTTTACACACAGAGGCTTTTACACAGAGAGGCTTTTACACACAGACGCTTTTACACACAGATTCCTTTACACACAGAGGCTTTTACACACAGACGCTTTTACACACAGACACTTTTACACACAGACGCTTTTACACACAAACACTTTCACACAGACGATTTTACACACAGACGCTTTTACACACCCACGCTTTTACACACAAACACTTTCACACACAGACGCTTTTACACACAGAGGCTTTTACACACAGAGGCTTTTACACAGAGACGCTTTTACACACAGACGCTTTTACACACAGAAGCTTTTACACACAAACGCTTTCACACACAGACGCTTTTACACACAGAGGCTTTTACACACAGACGCTTTTAAACACAGACGCTTTTACACACAGACACTTTGACACATAGACACTTTTACCCACAGAAGCTTTTACACACAGACTCCTTTACACACAGACGCTTTTATACACAGGAGCTTTTACACACAGACGCTTTTACACACAGACGCTTTTACACACAGAGACTTTCACACACAGAAGCTTTTACACACAAACGCTTTTACACACAGACACTTTTACCCACAGAAGCTTTTACACACACAAGCGCGCTTTTCTTTTACACACGCACACTTTCACACACAGACGCTTTTACACACAGACTCTTTCACACACAGACGCTTTTACACACAGAAGCTTTTACACACAAACACTTTTACACACACACACTTTTACACACAGAGGCTTTTACACACAGACGCTTTCACACACAGAGACTTTTACACACAGAAGCTTGTACACACAAACGCTTTTACACACAGGCACTTTTACACCCACACACCCACACACACACACGATTTTCTTTCACACACACTCACACTTTCACACACAGACGCTTTTACACACAGACGCTTTTACACACAGACGCTTTTACACACAGAAGCTTTTACACACAAACGCTTTCACACACAGACGCTTTTACACAGAGAGGCTTTTACACACAGACGCTTTTAAACACAGACGCTTTTACACACAGACACTTTGACACACAGACACTTTTACCCACAGAAGCTTTTACACACAGACTCCTTTACACACAGACGCTTTTATACACAGGAGCTTTTACACAC